CTGCTCCAGCTTGATTTGCACCCAGAAAGGTCCAAAGGAACTCCCAAGGATGATTCGGGAAAGACTCCTCTGAGGTGTCCTGTCCAGCGGTTACGGAGAGAGTCCATGGCTCTCCCCCCCCACCCCAGTCCTTGGAGGAATAGGAGACCAAACAGGGGTGTGGGACCAGGCAGCGGCCCACGCTCTGCAGCACGTGGTGGCTCTAGCACGTGGCCATCAGCCACAGCCGGTCCAAAGGAACTCCCAAGGATGATTCGGGAAAGACTCCTCTGAGGTGTCCTGTCCAGCGGTTACGGAGAGAGTCCATGGCTCTCCCCCCCCACCCCAGTCCTTGGAGGAATAGGAGACCAAACAGGGGTGTGGGACCAGGCAGCGGCCCACGCTCTGCAGCACGTGGTGGCTCTAGCACGTGGCCATCAGCCACAGCCGGGCCCTCCCCGAGGGGGAAAGGGGAAGGCCTACAGGAATGCCCCCCACCCCAGCCCCAGTCTTGACTGTCTGAGGCCTGCAGGGCAGCCAATGGGGTGGACAAAGGGCACCCAAGCCCTAGAGACCCGAAAAGGGGGGGGGAAGGAAGTGGCTTTCTCTGACGGGACAGCTTTGGTGTGTGGCGACCAGCAAGTGGCGCGCCCTCGGCCTGGACATTGCCGTCCCTCGGCTTCTGCCCTTCCTCGCTCGCCTTGATTCCAGCACAGCCGCTGGAGTTCCGGCCGGCCTTCCTGTCTCCGGAACCAGGCGGGAGTGACCCTGGAAATCGTGGCTACAACCCCTCCTCCCGCCGGACAGCAGCGGGAGCCCCAGGCCAGCCGGTCTTGGGGCTCCAGACGCTGATGGGTCTTCTCACACTGCTTGACCTTCAGCAGCCCAGCCTCTCTGCCCTTGAGACCCCTGCCCGCTGGCACCGGTGGCTGGGGAAGCAGGAGCGTGGAGGGGGGGGCCTTGCACACAGACCGTGATGCCTCCTTCCTTCCTTCCTCCCCCACGGGGTGTGTGTGTGTGTGTTCTGTTCCATCAGGTCATCGAGGAGCGCTTTGGGCCCACGGTGGTGCCCGTGCCCTTCCTGGAGGACGCCTCCTCCTACGACCTGCTGACCGTTCTGATCAAGAAGCCACAACTGGGGCAACACCTCCTGCGGCGGCCACGCTGCCTGGTGCCCGTTGGGCCGCTGGAAAGCCTCCTGCCAGGGGGGGCGCCCGCCCGGGAACTGGGCCACTCCACGCGCGAGTACCATGCCCGGGTGCGCGGAGAGTCGCGCTACGAGGAGACCCGGCTGGTGGACGGCAACCTGCGGAGCATCCGCCTGGCCATGGGCGGGGTCCACAAGAAAGTGGCCTTCCTGGCGCTGCGGCCGGGCACAGTGGCCCTGCGCCCAGACCTGCCGTGGCTGCATGCCCAGAGCAGCATCTACGTGGTCTACGAGGTCTTCTACTGCAGCAGCCTGGTGCTGAGCGTCACCCAGGGGGACCAGCACCGCAGCTTCCACCAGGACCAGCCCATCCCCGTGGCCTTCTCCTGCCTGAAGTTTGCCCTCAGCAGCAAGGGGGTGCTGGGCTCTCAGAAGCCCATGGGCCACCGCCTGCCAGCAAAAGCCGCCTGGGTGAGGATGGCTGTGCTAGAGCCCCCTCCTCCAAAGATGCCGCCGGAGCCCCCTCTGCCCGCCGAGAGAGCCGCGACCCGGCGGAAGCGGTGGAGATCCCTGGGCAGGCCTTCCCGGGCCCTGGCAGGTGAGGAGGTTGGAACCCGTGGCCAGAGGGAGACCGGCCACTGCCATCTGCAGACCCTTCCCCATCCAGAGGGGTGGGTGAGGGTCCCTCGGGGCCACCCGCGGGCCGGCAGGGCAGCACGAGCGCTGGGGGGGGGTCCTGCCTTCCTTTGTGCCGGCGATGAGACCTGGCAGGCGTCTCCCTCTCAAACAAGGGGCCTTGGGAAGTCCTTGGGAGGGGGGCAAGCCTGCAGAGGGCCAGGGTGTGTGTGGGGGGGTTGGCCTTGTGAGAGGAGCCCCATCACAGGCCAGTCCCCTCAAGCCCTTTCTCAGAGGAGACCCTTGCCGGTGCCCTCACAAGCCCAGAAAGAGCTGCGGCTTTCATTCCCTGAGGCCTGAAGGCAACTGAGAGCCGACAAGGCAGGGGTGCCCATGGAGGGAGGGAGGGCGGGCGGTGGGCTTCCAGGCCCTTTACTGCTGCACACACACACACCTGGCTGGCAAACCTACCCCGCCCCGAGGGAGCCTCTTTGGGGAGGTGCCATTTATTCCCCCCCCCAAGGGCCACACAGCTCCGCTCCGGCCACGTGCAGCCCTTCCCTGGGCAGGGTTCCTCTCTGTTCTGTGGGTGCCTCACACGGGACCCCCTGGAGGGGGGTCTGGCCGGCGCAAGAAGGGGGTCCCAGCCCATCTGCCCTTTGCTTGTAGGAGGGGGGGCAGCCAAGCCAGGCCTCCCCTTCCTAGGGGAGGAGGTCTCCCCAATGGCTCTGGGTGG